TAAAAAATGTAACTTAATATGAGTTAAAAAAATAAATAATATAATTATGCTTGTCAACGTCTACTAAGAATAGAGATCAATTTGACAAATAACCTTCATGCACATTCTTCAGGGCCTACTTGCATTATAGCCCTTATCATAATACAAATAATGGCTTCCCTAGTCCCATGAAATTTGCTAATAAAGTAATCATATCGCATACCAAAATACATGAAAGCTTAAAAGACTGAATTCACTAAGTTGTCAAATATGAAGCAACTTTTTGAATTTTACATCAAGTACAAGCTAAAAATATGCTTAAGTCCTTAGTTAAAAACAATCACTTCGACTTACCTACCCATACTGAAAATGGTAGCAATTATGAAAAAAACTTGCTTGGTATGAAAATACTTCTATATCTGATTTATATATGGTTTGTGGATAGGTGACAGCTCAGCCTGGCTATATCCATTGATTAGTTGGATTGAAGGACTGTTTGCATGCAAAGAATTTTTCATTTAATAAAATTTGACCTGCCACTAAGCTTAAGCTAGCTCCTAAAATCAGAAACATAATTTTCCTTTTTAGGTAGATTTTTGAGATACTCATCTCATATATAATCAGAATATGTTTTGTGTTCTTTCTATCTATTTTATTAGTCGCAAATTTGTGTGAAAGTTGTCCATCTTCCGTATTTTGTTGAAATTTGTCTTTTTTGATATTTAATTAAAAATACAGTATAGCTGATTCCCTTATTTATGCTTGATTCCACATTTATAGATTTTTTTTAAGTAAGCTATAATTTTGTTCTAGATGAATTGGCAACCAAAGGAGTATTCTTAACCTGGGCCGTACTTTGTTCTGTATGCGCCCAACTGGAGGAAAACATCCATGCTTACATGAAGCATTTCAGTTCAAATCATCCAGGAAATATTTCGGTATGAATTTTTAAGCCATTTTCTACTTATTAAACTATGAGTGGAAGGTTTTTGCTATTAATGTATATAATAAGATTATTGTATTACATTTTGCAATTGCATATTATAAATAAGATTTCAATTTTAAATGACCTATTTGATTACAATTATAAATTTGAAATAGTGTTACACATAGTTTTACCACTTTGAATGTTTACATATTTTTAATTATCGCCAATCTAGCAGGCTATACAATCTTCAATAATTATAAGAATAATATTTACAATCCTTTATTGTGTTACCAAAGTTGAGATTAATGAAGGTTAAACTTTACCACAGACCCTTATCTTATGGGTATAAGCAAAAAAAGAAGTTTCAATGCTGGAATGAGTAAAATAGAAATCAAACGCTATGTAACGAAAATGCTAAAAATATTTTGAAAAAATTTGTTTTCATTATTTAATGTCGATTGAATTCGGCCATTATTTTCATTCATTCTAGTAACCACTTGATCTCTTACTGATACAGATATCTCAAATAATTAAAAAGGGCATACAAAGAGTAAAGGTAATCAAGTTTTCTTTTAATAGAGTTTTCTGCCTTATTACGTAAGATTTCCACCCGTAAATGTACGGTTGTAGATTTAGATCCAAGATTAAACATATTATAATTATTACAGTCTGTGACTTTGCCTTGTATATAATGAGCAGGAATCTAAAATCCTTAAAATTTGCCAGCTGCCCTTTGGGATCATCCCTTAACTCTACTTTCAGTAAATAGATCCGTAGCGCTACTATTTCGCATAGAAGTATTTGATAAAATTGCTTAGGCTCATTTGGATAAAGTGACTCCTAGAGATCTTCGCAGCCTCATAACTTAATCCGTTTAAGTTAAGGGTAGGAGTTTTGTTTCCATCTTCTTAGTTCCACTTGAAGGCTCTGTTAAGAAATACTTAATTGAGTTTACAATAGCAATAAAGTGAAGATAAAGACTGATTATCCGTTTACGTGAGCTAATTAATGACTAAAAATAGGATGTTTATTAACTTGTAGCTTTAGTAGCGCTAACTCTTAGTAAAAAGTTCCAAAAACTTTTTACTTTATTCGTAAATGCTTAGGTTTCACTGGTAAAAGAAATTAAAAAATAGCATCGTCATATTTGCTCATGAAAACTGACAAACTCAAAATAAATTGAAAAATTAAATGTCTATTAACAAAATGACGTTTCCCACAGCACACTTTGAGAAATTGACATATAAGACATGAATATTTAAAAAAATCAACTAGATGCTTTGAGAATTTATCCCATTATTCACAAATAGTATTTTTGTAATACAAAATGTAACATTATTTTGCTAAGTATAAGACAAGACACATTGCTTTACTAACTGTACCATTAAAATATAATCATTTCGATAAAATTATAGCTCAGACCAGTGTTTATTTGCCGAGGTTGTCAGTGTCTTCGGACGGATCACAATATGCTGACCAGTCACTCCAGGACCTGTCCATATCCTTTCATAAGTCAGGTATGTTTTTTCCTTCATAAGTAGGTTATTGAGACTACCCTTAAATAAGATATATGAAATATGTTCACCCTATTTCGTTTAAAGTGAGGAAGGACTAGTAATTGAATTTTCCTATAATTATATGAGTAAACCTTCCTTTGAATCTTACATAGACTTTCTACACACAAGATATTCTCTTCCAGGGTAGACTACAGTTTCGATCTCGCCTAGATCTCATATAGGAAAGCTTTATTTACTAAAGAATTTGCCGACTAGTGAAATATGGATTTCTGACACTAAACATTGAAAAGCAAGAGAGTAATAGATGGTGAAATTCGTTTATTTTGACGACCCTCATATACTTCATACGGTACTTTTTTGCATAAGCTAAGAGGATCAAGTGTGAATAGAGAGAGTAAAAGGGGACTGGATTATATTGCTTAATAACTCCATTCATTTTTCGTACTCTTCTTATTTAGATTTGAGTAATCTATGGGGGGTCCCACTCGTAGGAATGTAGATAAAATATCAACTGCCTGTATTATTTTGATGAAAGTCTCAGAAAATGTCCGTATACCTTATTCTTTTTCTGTGAAAAGCTTAATTTATAAGCGCTTCTATTATTCCTTCAAGATGAAAAGAGAAAGCAATGTTCACCTTCAGGCCATATTTGTAGTGTAAAAGTGTTGTTGCTATATTTTATTTATTTGAAGACCCACAAAAATAGTTATTTAATATAATAGTATTTGGGCATAACATAATGATATTTTTATGTACAGCCTGAGGAGGATGAACTATAATGTCAAAATAAGCTAAACTTTCTGCCTATGGCAATCACTTCCGAATGGATATTAATATCCGGAATATAAGTTTAACTATCCTAGGCTGCTAAGGATGATTTAGTAACTGATACTAGAATTTACTTCATAATCTAGTGGTATTTACGTTGAGGCAAAGATTTATAAACCATTTAACTCAACCATGCTACTTATATTTAGTGCATACATGTCTTAAAGCAACCCAATACAAGCAATCTCATCGATCCTACTATAACTGTGATTTGAGAAAAATCGTAATTGACTTGAAAATAATATATTCCCGCGACAACATATCCCCAGTAGCTGGGAGGGGGGTACCGACGAGATCTGGGCGGGTTCGAAACTTCAGTCCAGTTTGAATGAGTAAACATTTTGGTGATCAATGCGAGGTGGAGTCCAATGACATCGTGGGGTTTACTTATATAGTTGTGAACTAAACCAAACTATCATTCCTGAACTCAGCTTAGGCGATTAACGGTGACCAAGTTCTTAATTAAGAATAACATATAGTTTTGAATCATACTCTTATTATATTGTAATTCGCTTGCTGTATCAAATAAATTAGGAATTGCTGTCTCTTGATCCATGCATTTTTGAGCTTTTATACTGTTTGAAAAGAAGACCAAACAATAAAACACTTCTAGATTTAATGTTTGAGTTTCCATAAGCTTGATGCATATATGCTTAATAAATAGCCTTATTTTTTCGGTACTATTGGAATCGAAAGCTCCACGAGCAGAGTCTACAACAGAAACCTTCTGTGCTCACGCGAGCAGCAGTTCGGCGCGCGAGATCCGGTCAAACGGAAACTTCTCCTCGGGCCAGAATGAGTGAACAGGTTTCGGCGAATGGGCAGTCGAAGGCCAGTTTACTCAACAATTTAAAGCCAGTGGCATCATATACGGCAACCAGAGAAATGGCTAAGAAAATGCAACCACCTAGTCCTCTCCCAGCAACAAATACCACAGGGACAGGCTTTTTGACGTCTGCGGGGCCAGATTCGGAAACAACGGTATGTGGTAATGCTGATGGGGCTAGGATGCAGATAAGCCATTCTTCTCATATTTTGCCTACCGTGAATGCTAAACAATTTGAACTTCAACCGCAATTAACAACTCTCAAAGATGTTCAGATGAAGCAGAAGACAAATGTACCCGCTTTGGTAGTGTCAGGAGAAGAAATGAACAGAGAGAAAGGACTTAATTCAGCAATAAATTTGAGGGCTTCGCCCCCTGCTAGTCAGAGTCACCAACAGCAGCAGCAGCAAAAGACGATGTTTTCAAATGAATTTCGAGATGCCGAAACCAGTGAAGAAACCCAAAAACAGTTAGTGATTCTAATGAATACACATACTTATCTTCTTTGGGTCAAAGTAATTTGAGATTAATTGTATTATTAGACTTATTCTCATGTTTGAAGCATATCGAAGTCTATGACAATTACGCGTTCAACTTGCAATGCCATTTAACTCAAGGAGTAAAGATTGATGTTTTCTAGTCGAAAAGGAGCCTCCATCAAGGCTAATTAAATCATTAAGGTTCTCATATGCACTTATAAAAATGTATAGTCTGCAGATTCAACATAGAGTTAACTAAAAAAACTAAGTGAGTTGACCTCGTTGTCGCAACTTGGTCTTGTTTTCAGGGAGACCATGTAGAACGCACCTAGTCCG